GATATTGACCATGATCTTGTTTAAGGTATACTATAATAAAAGACATTTCCCATTGAGAATCTTCTTTAAGGAACCTTGAAGTTCATAATGGATATATTCCTATTAACGGTCAACAACAAATGAAAAGGGAGTTTCATATAGCTGTTTGAAAAAAAGATCTTTGATAAAAGTCAAAAGCATAATGCTATTAATTTTAAAATGAGTGAAGGTAATTCTGTGAGCTAAGTAAATCTGACCTAAAGATGACATTTTCTAGAGGTCTAACTTGATCCAAGGATTGAATTTAAAATATTAAAAATTTTAGATAGATGAGTGAGTAGCATTTTGCTTGGAGTTTCAACTATAAATATCACTTCTTTTGATTTTTTAATAAAACTGGAATAGTACCTTATGAAAACTTTATATTCCAAGTTATAGGTTGAGTGTACTATTCTTTGTTATAGGAACTATTGATTTTTATATGGGTAAGATTACAAATACGAAAAACATCAGCCATGGTATATCTTATCAGCAGAACAAAAGTCATTTAGTTATTTATGTAAATTAAGTGTCCTATTACCAATTTATTCTTACTGCTTAATACCAAACATAGTACTTAATTACAAACATAACTTTCTAGTTACAAATATAATGCCTAATAAGTCCTTTTTTTAACATCCATGTTGTTCACATCAGACATCTCAAAATCTATACACTGAACAAATTTTTACATTTATTTTTTATTAATATATTTTAAATTTAAAAGTAATGTTATAACCAAAAAATGAACAAACCCACATATTTTAAATACCTGTTATTATTGCCCTCTCTAAATTCATCTTTATTTTTCTGGTTCTTATTCTGTTCCTCTATGTCTTGCTCCTTTGCATTCTATCTTACTGTATTTAAAGTCTATTTTTGTTCTTCTTTCCAGGAACCTCACATCCACTTTCACATACACATTTTCCACTCACACACCCATTTACACATCTTCTAAAGTCTTGATATCTTTAGAATACGTCAGTGTTTCTGAATCAAAATCGAGTTTTGAAGTTTAACTTTTCCATCCCTATTGTTCTGCTTTGATTTAGGGTTTGGGGTTTTGTTGGAGTTTTTTTCACTCAAGAGCCTAAACAAGGGTTCAGTCACTATAGCATTGGTCCCTATCACCTTGAATTAGAAATGTATTTTATCATACTAGATTTTTCCCAGGCCACTACTTCTATGTAGAGAAAATCTAAAAGATATCAATGAAAAATAGAAAAAGCACAATTACTACTTAGTGATAGGGTCTCAGTCCAAGATGTTCTGAGTCTATAATGGATATGAGGCAAGGCTACAAGAGCTATTGAAGCAGGGCTGTTGCAGAAACCATCATCAGTTACTCTTCAGACCAGACTGAACAAAAGCAATGTATAGTCATAGCCAGAAAATTTTATATGAGAGAAAGTCATTTTTATAAGTGGAGTAAAGAAGCAAAATAAACCATGTCCAGAGAAAAAGAGTTGGTACCCCTCAGAGAGTGTTGAATGGGTATGCAAATTGCCAGTGCTCTGAGATTGCCCATTTCCCAGTTGATACACAGCATCGAGGCAGCTATTTCTGATTTAAGTTTTGACTAGTAGTTGTGATTCACCCTTACAATGATAAATCAACAAGATTAGAAACCTTAAAGTGTTTTTTAAACTTTCCTTTAATGAGCACTTTTGATTGCCTGCTTACTTCCCTCTTCCAGATATTCAAGACAACACAGCAATTTGAAAATTTTCCAAAATTAACATAAAATATTTTTTTAATATTCAGTTACCATTGAAAGGACTTATTTCAGTAATTCTTGATTTCTACACACAAAAAAAGAAAATAGACAAGTTACATGAAAATATATACAGCAAATAAAAGTTTTTAAAAAGTCAATGTATATATCATGAATTTTAAATACGGAACTATGTTCTGATTTAATATTCTATTTTTATAGAATTTTGGACAAAGTGTCCAGCTAAGTTCATGTGAGTCAAAACAAACTACAAGGGGTACTTCTAATATTGAAAAAGGTATGTTCTAGTTTAAACATTTTTCTATGAGCTTTGTTCCCAGTGATTTTTTTTCTTATATGTATTTTCCCAAATACTTACATATCATGTGACTATTAAACCACCATTTTGGACCTAAATTCTCCTCACCCTACACATTTAGGTTGTTGTTTTTCTTTATTTTAAATAATAATGTACTGAACATCTTTCTACATCAAGCTTTTTCCTGATTTTTCAATTATTTCTATAAGGTAGATTCCTTGAATTAAAATTACAATATTTGCCATATAAATGACACCTAATAAATATTTGTTGAATGAAAGTCTCGTGTATTAAATGAATTCTGGATCAAAGGATATAAACATTGTAATGGCTTTTCACACATATTTCTAAAGTACTTTTTTGAGTGTATTATCAATATAAATTCTGGTTAGTGTGCTAACCTAAAATAGAATCACTTCTATTACTTACTTATATCACAGGCAAAGAAATGTTGTTTTGTTAGTTTTAATTTGTACATCTTTAATTAATAATATGCTTAATTGTTTTTGTATATTTTTATTTTTGATGAATCGTTTCTTCATATTTTTCTCTGTAGATGTTGAAGTTTGGATATTTTCTTACTGATTTCTGTAAATTCTTTAAATATCAAGGATTCTTATCCTTATATTAGTTGAAAATATTTTTGCTACTTTATTATTTGCATTTCATTTTACTTATGTTGTATTTTACAGATAGAAGTCTTATTTTTTATTTTGTCATTCAATAAATGATTGTTGAGAGCTAATTTCCTGCCTTCAACTAAATATTGGATACACAGTAATGAAGAAATCATACAAAATTCTTGCCCTTCAGAAATTTAAAGCCTATTAGGGAAAACTAGCCTTAAATAAATAAGTTTATAGTCTTTTCTTAGTGATTTTGCCATTACTTTTAAACTCAAAGAACCTTCCCAATACAGAAAGTTAGAAATGTTTCTTTTTCCTCTAGATTGCTTCAATAATTTGATCATTAAATTTAATTCTTTAATTTCTTTGGAATTTGTTTAATTGGATGGCGTGAAGTGCAATTCCGAATTGATTCTTTCATAAACAACAAATTAATTTATTGAGTGATCTTTCCTTTTTCTCAAGTCTCTGATCATATGTTAAGTTCTTATGTCTAATTTGATCCATTTCAAGGTTGTCAGTTCTGTTCAGCTGATACCTAATTTTTTAATCTTTCCTTAAGTTTTTTTCTCTTACCCATTTATAACTCATCTTAATCGCTATTATAAAGACAATTTACTTTATCTTCTCTTTGTACTACCAATGAATAAAAAAAGAATAGCACAAAAATAAGCTAAACGGAATGTATTTTTCTTTAGTTCAGGTAACACTCTAGGAATTCTTATTACCTTACTGCCATCATTTTGAATATATATAGTTTTTAATTAGAGATGGAAAAATCCTAGATATAGAAGATCTTGATAACTAAAATGCAAACTAACAGAAGATTCACTGGGTTTCTATTAGTGAAAAGAATACATACAGATATGTCAGTTAAGTATGAATAAAGGCTGATCCCAAGACAAAAAGGGATCAAAGAATAGTTAATGTAAAGTTTCTGTAGTTTCAGAGAGTACTTCTGAATTTTTGATGGCTGAAAACTTAGTGAAAGCTTCAGTGCCTGAGGATGAAATTCTAACTGTCATGAGTAGCAAGCAGCTACAGAAACCAAATCTGGCTTTAAATAAGACTCAGCAATTCAATATCTGTGCACTATCAGCTGAAGAACAGAAAATCCTACAATCCCTTAATCGTCTCAATGAAAGGTTATACTGTAAGTATGGAAGAACACCTTTTGTAAGAAGTGTTATATTTTGTACTTTGATTATTTTAATTTAAAATTCAATTTAGCTTAACAATTGAAATTAAAGGTACAGAATCTATCCAGGTTATCACCTCTTAAATCAAGTATATTACAACTAAAATATTTTTGCTATGCCATATTATTTCAAGTATATCATACTCATTTTGTTTATGATGATACCAATGTCTTTGGCAGGGTTATCTGTCTTTTAGGAACGTATGAATACACTTCTGCTTCAGCAATGTGACAGGCTAGGTATCTGTACTGACCATCCATCAAAAACAACCATAAATTCTACATTAAGTACTTTAAAATTTTTAAATATAGCAATGAACTGGTAAAAATATAAAGAATTCTTAAGAATAGGAACTTAATATAGACAAGAACCCAGAAATAAATTGAGAGTGCTGCAGCTAGCTTTCATCTTGAAAACATTTAACACAGAGAGTGAAACACAGCTTTGCTTTTCATGGCCTCTCAGGAAAAAAAAAAAAAAAAAGTTTACAAGAGACAAAACTCAGGCCTTACTCAAGATGTGTAGTCTTATAAAAGATCATCCCACCTTAAGCTGAGCCTCTCAAAGAGCTACACCCTACACAGACACACACACACGGAGAAAGAGAGAGAAGTGATGAAAAAAGCTAGCGTATCTTGAATTGAGCAGATGACAGGGGAAGACTTGCAAGCTTTTTTCACCTCACCTCTCTTTGTCTCTCTGTGTGTATATGTCTATGTAGAATGTAGCTCTTTCTCTAAGAGATTTTGTTAACAACAGACTCTAAAGAAAATTCTAAAGAATACATTTCAGCAGACGGAGAATAATCTCATTAAGACAGTTGGAGAAGGTAAATTTTAACAGACATTGTATAAAACAATACATTTAATAAAGAAGTGTTTCAAAGAGAAAAAAATTATAATTTAAATACCTATCAGAAATAATACATAACTTAGGAGAACAGAAATGGTGTTAAAGTGTACTAGTATTCTGTATTAAGGAATTGAGTAAAAATACAGATTAGTTGTTGATAACTGAAGTATGCCTGTGGTAATTACTAGAGTCACAACTAAAGGACTAGAAATAGATTATGCATTATATACAAACTGGTAGAGAAGGAAAGTGGCATACAAAAAAATCAGTCCAAAATAAAAAGAGAGAAAAACATAGAAGATATAGGACAAATAGAAATCCTACACTACAAAATGGTATGTACAAGTGTATTTATAATAAATAAAAGTGGATTAAAGGCTACATTTAAAGACAGGCTGTTAGTTGAAACTTTATAACACAATTGTATTCTGTTTAGAAATAATCTGTTTAAAACATAAGGATATGGAAAAGCTAAAAGTAAAAAAAAAAAAAAAAAAGATGAAAAATATGTACCAAGCTAATTCTAACCAAAGGAAAACTGCTTTAGATGTATTATTAACTGACAAAACTGACTATAAGGCAGAAAGCATTACTGGAAACAAAAAAGATCACTTCATGATGTTCAAAGTTTTAATTCAGGAAAAATATATAAAATATTTTCATTTCATATGCATTTAAGATCATAGCCTCAAAATATATAAAATATTTTTAGCCATTGTGAGAGATTGTTTTTTACTTTGTCAGTAATTATAGAATAGACAAAAATATCAAATAGGTGTATAAGAATCAAACACGATTAACTAACTTGATCAAAGGGACACATTCTTTGCAAGCGCACATAGAACATTTATAAAAATGGACCATATGTTATGCTATAAAACAAACCTTGACACATTTCAAAGGATTGGAGTCATGCACATCCTCTGTCCACAATGCAACTTAACTAAACATGAGTAACAAAATGATATTTATTAAGAAACATATTTCGAAATCAGGTTATGAAAAAAATACCATAATGGAAATTACAAAATATTTAGACACAAACAATAATACAAATATTTTATATATGTATATGTTTATCATCACCTCTCAACCTTGCCACTACTAACATTTGGGGCAAAATAATTTTTTCGTTGTGGGGGGCTGTCCCGTGTATTGTGAGTTGTTTAGCAGCATCTCTGGCCTCTACCAACTGAATGCTATAGTATAAGTATCTCCTAACATTGCCAAATGTTCCTTGGGTAGCAAAAAATCACCTGTGGTTGAGAACCACTGAAGAAAAAAACATAATATATGTACATACATTCTTATATAATGCATGTATGTGTATGTGTTGTGTGTGTATTCCACTCTTGCTGAAAATATAGAAAGCTGGAATGTGTCAATGTGACCCTAATAAAAAACAGATAAACAACAAAAGTGTAGCTTTTCTTGAATGCATTAGAGAGCTGAAGTCATAGCATAACCAAGTAGCCTGACATCCAAGGAAAACAGGAACTCCCTAGGAGAGACAGGACACGACTATTGGCTCACCTGTGGCAGAGTATGGGAGAAAGAAATACCAGGTTGCATACAAGCTGGTATTAAGAATTCTGCTTAGATTTTTAACAGATTGCTAAAGGAGAAGTGTGAACTATTGTGAGAATATGAAACCCCTGGAAGCCACAAACACAAGAAGAGTTCACGCTCACTCGCAGATTTTTTTCCATGAACCTACATGGTGTATTCAAGGGGAAAATAGAGGGCAGGTCAAGAAACTAGAGAAATCCTTCCTCAGTACTGCAACCTAGAGGAGGGGAGCAGCCACTGCATTAGAAAAGGCATGAAGCCCCATGCAGAACTTTTCTCTCCTACTGCATAAAAGCTATGAGGTACTGAAACAGAGGCAGAAAATTTTGTATTGATTGCCCCTAAGGCACAAATAAAGACTTATAGGGCTGGGAGAAAAGTAAAAGAAAAAAGCTTCTTCCTGTTGGGGAGGGCCCAAGCAACAGGCATGGACCCAGATCATTAGAGTTATCTTGCTATCAGAGGAGAAGCACAAAAATCTTACACAAATCCAGCCAAAGATACAAGACGAAGTTGACTTCCATGGCAAGGAGGAGCAGGATGACTAAGAAGATACGGAGGACATGGCTAGGACTGAGCCTGAACCAGGAAAACAGAAAAACTCCCCTACTGCTTCACCACAAGGCCAGCAAATGCCAAGTAACAAGCAAAAAGAAATCTGCTGGAAGAGAGGCAATAGCATAGAGAGAGCTTCCTTCTATTGTGAAGATACACAAAAAGGCCAAAATCTGAGAATAGAACAGGAACATTGAATTAAAAAGCCTCCATGATCCTTGCAGAACAGAAGAACACTAGAGGAATTTGAAACCAGTGCTGTACTGAAGGTAACCATAGCAACAACAAAAACCAAACCCAGCTCAATTCCAGACTAAGGTGATTAACTACACACACACACACACGCGCGCACACACACACACACACACACACACTTGCCTAGGAGAAGAGGCATGCTGATTTCCAGACACACATACTGTTAACCTGAGTATCCACTATTTTAAACATGAATTCTGGCATTAAATCAAAAATTATGAGACACACCAAAAAAGCAAGGAACAAAACTCACTGTCAAGGATACAAAGCAATCAACAGATTGAGACACAGAGATGACCCAGATGTTGGAACTATCAGGTAATTTTAAATAACTATGACTAATATATTAAATGTTAAAATGGAAAAGGTAGACAACATGGTAGAGACAGCATGCATGAACAGATGGAGAATTTCAGCAAAGAGATGAAAACTATAAGAAAGTCAAAAAGAAAGTAAGAAATAAAACACTGTTAACAGAAATGAAAAATGTTATCTATGGGCTCATCAGTAGACTCAACACAGCTGAGGAAAGAATCAATGAATTTGAAGACAGGTAATAGAAATTTCCAAACCGAAACACCAAGAGAAACCAAAATGGTAGGGGGAAGAAAAACCAGAATGAACGATCTAAGACCTGTGGGACAATATAAACCAGTCTAACAAACATATAATTTGAATCCTCATGTGAGAAATGGCAGCTTTTTTTTTTTTTTTTTTGCTAGGAAGAGGAGCTAATGATCTCTTTGGATTTCAGCATAACTCCTCTCATATGGGATGAAAACCCATTCTTGGATCCCAGATAGCACACTGACAGAAAAGCTATGAAAAACTGGGGTCATTTTGAGGCAAGCTGTTTGTCACTCTATATTAGAATAATTGGATACCAAGTAGAAAGAAATTAAATTGAATTCCTTTCCAAATACCATACATAAAAATCAGTTCCAAGGTGATTAAAGAATTAATGCGAAAAAAATGTGTAAAGCCATTAGGAGATAATATAATATTTTCTAGCCTCAGGGTAAGGATTTCTTTAGCAGAACAAAAGAAATCTATAGAGGAAAAATCAATAAATTTGACTATATTTAACAGTCAAATAATTACAAACTTTCTTCATATCAGAATCATTAAAAGAATGAAAAGAGGCCACAAATGAAACTATTTATACTACATAGAATAAAGGACTCATTCAAAACCTGTAAAGAACAACTATAAATCAATAAGAAAAAAAGACAACTCAACAAAGGGGAAAAAAGACAACTCAACAAAGGGAAAAAAAAGACTTAGGAATTTCACAAAAGAAATGCAAATGACAATAAACAATACACATTAATAGATATTCAACTTCATTAGAAATAGGGAAATGCAAATTGAAACAATGAAATATAGTTACGTTCTCATAAGAAAGACATATGTTTAAAAGCCTGGCAATGCTAAGTGCTGGTAAAGACATACAGCAATTGGAGCTCTCATTGGGCAAACTCTTTAGGAAATGCTTTGCTGCCACCTAATAAATTGAACATGAACATACCCTATAACCCAGCAATTTCACTTCTAGATGCATATCCTACTTGAAACCCTGCATATGTGCATCAAGAAACATGTATAAGTCTATAGAGATCATCATTATTTAAAAGCCAAACTTTGAAAACATCTAAATATGCTGGAGTATTATTCATCAGGGAAAATGAACAAACTATAGCTACACACATCATCATGGATGAATCTAAATAATATATAATTTTCAACAAAATAAAAATCGCAGGAAAAAAACAGTACAATTTCAATTATGCGAAGTTCAGAAACAGGCAAAACTAAACTATTCTTTGGAGATGTATGCATATGTGTTAAAACTATAAAAAAATGAAGTCAGTATAGTGGGTTACCTCTGTGAGTAGGAGAAGGGAGTGCAATCCACAAGGCAGTGTGGAATTAGAGAGCTCCAGAAAGCTTCTAAAAAAGTGAAAATGTTCAGCTTTCATAATCGAGGTAGTTACACAGACATTAGCTTTATTATTATTAATTAAAATATGCATATGTTTTATATACTCTGTGTTAATTCTAAAATTAAAATTTAAAAATAAGGTAGTAATAAAAAGCAGGGTGCTACAACCACAAAAGCAATGTAAAACTAAAGCTATAAGTTTAAGACACAAAATTAGGCGGATAGAATAAAAACCTCGTCAGTTTTTTAGAAAGTTTTTTTTCTTTTAGATACTTCTACATATTTAAATGCTTGAAGTAAAAGATTCTCCCTGAATTTTTTTTCTTTTGCCCAAACCCTTTCTATTACATAGACAAAAGCCTAAACATCGAAAATGCAAGAGTTGACCAAATTACTCAAATTTTTTGTGCCTTAATGGCAAATAAATATCTCCTCCTTCTTAAGATACTCCAAGAATGAAAGTCATTTATTGGTTTAAAAAAGAAGAAGAAGAAAAATAAAAAAGGAATGAAAATCTAACACTTAAATAAAGATCGTTATATAATAGTCCAAGTACTATTATCAACATAAGTTTTATGTAATTGCTTTTAATCACATTACTTCCATTTCCTAAGCTAATATAAGTATAAAGACTGGGGGACAATAAAGACCTCTCACTCAATTTTGAATATTTTGACACATTAGAATTTAATATTTGATTCTTTAGTCATTCTTCTCTTTCAATATGCATAACAATTGTTTTTATATCATGGTATAATCATTTCAGATATGCAAGAAACCATTTGCAAAAATCCATCGATCAAAAATACCTTACAAATAAAGCACTTCTGGTAAGTATTTTAAGCTTTTGTTTTTATTTTAGGAAACTTCATGATTTTGTGTGTAAGAATCCTGTACTGATATTAATTTTTCTTGAGGTTGGCTTTTAGAGAGTTTTTCTCCACAACTTTCAATTATAAGATGTTTTTGTTAAGCAAATATACTCTTGTTTTTAAAAATTGTAATATTAAAATTTTTACATCCAGAGTATTTTGTCAGTAATGGAAACAGCAACATGTATCAGTGCACTATTCTTCAAATAATTTTAGATATGTAACCTAATTGGAAAATTGTTAAGAACTTTGGTGATGATCCCATTCTTGCTCATACCCCTTTCATGTCTTAAGGGTTCAAAACTAGACATCACTATTTTGAATTTTTTTTTTTTGCCTTGGTGCTGGATTCTGGTAAAGATCACATAAATGAAAAACAGTCCTTGCATTCAGAAATTCTCAGTCTAAAAGAGAAAAAGACACACATGGATAATATATACAAATAACCCTAATACAAAGTAAACTAAATCTGTGTGATACAATCTTAGGAAATCACAGAAGGAAGAAATCATGTCTGCCCAGAGTTGATCAGGTAACATTCAGGTCTAAAGAAAGGGCATCTTCAAACTAAGACACTACCTGTACTCTCATAATCCTCAATTTAGGTGTTCAACAAAAAAAAAAAACTTTTTGTTAGAGAATTAATTGTATGTTTGCTCAATTATTTTTTATCATGTACCTTCAATTTTGAAATCTTGACAGGAAAAAGTAAGATTATGCAAGTATACTTCATTTCTTACTTGCTTTTACATAAATAGTTATACATTTCTTACCCATGTTCAGATTTTAATATGTTCTGGGTATAGTAGTAAATAATAGTGAATAAGAAAAAGGCTATGCCTGCCCTCATGAAGTTTATTATTTACCTCTAGGAACATATTTCTTAGAAGTGGCCCTTTAGGTGTGGCAGTTTTGGTGCTGTGATTTTTAGACACAACTCTTTTGGCAATGGTCACCTTGACTCCTGATATATTTTTTCATGGTTACTTTTTACATGCTATTTTGATTTTTTGCTCATTTTCATCCTCACCAATTCAGCAATTTAAGTAGCTTTTGCATGATAATTTTTCTGTCTAAATTTTGACTGTACCAATTTTCTGACACTTATGACATTTATGATTCTTCACTTCAGTAAGATAAGATGCAGTGACTGAGATCACTCTTCTAAACACCTCAGCTCAACTTGAAAACAGTGTACTAACTACAACTAACTGAGCAGGATTGTAAATACTACTCAATAGGAAGAGAAAGTTATGTAATCAGCAAATTATTCTGTTGTGCACTTTGGGACACGGTGTCATTATACTTCTAGAGTATTTGACAAATAACAGAAAAGTTAATGGTGTGGATTAGGAACCACTGGTAGACTTAAAATCATTTTTCTCTTCCATCTTTTTCATTTTTTGTGACAGGTGGCAATCCTAGCTTTATTTGGTTTCTTTGTCTCCAAATATGTTACTCTTTCTTATTTTAACATCACTAAAATAGGTCAAATACTTCCATTTATTTTCAAGGAAAATAATGTAAAATCACAGAATTATGAACTACCTGTTTAAAACAGCTGGCATCAAAATTACCCCATCCTCCTCCCCCATCAAAACTCAACTACCATATTCTGCATGGGAATTTGATTTTTTTTTTTTATTTTTCATTTGCCCTTTTTTTCTGCTATTTTTTTGTTATTGTATTCTTCATTTGGATTTACCAAGTGTTGACATTTTGCCACACTTGCTTTATCTGATGGATGGATGAATGGATGGATGGATGGATGGATGTGGATGGATAGATGGATAATGGATGGATGGAAGAATACAATACAATACAATACAATACAATACAACAGAATACAATAGAGTAAAATAAAAGATACATACATACATTCATAAATACATACATACATATATACATACATACACAAACATATATTTTAATAAACTATTTAAAGTAGATTATAGACACAATACTTCCCCTCTAAATACATAATACAATATCATCATTACACCCAAGAAATTTAATATTGATACAATATTATCTCAAACACACTCCATATTTAAAGTTCCTTTGTTTGAAAAAGTCTTCTGTGTCTATTTCATTTCTCTGATCCAGGATCCAACCCAGGATTATACATTACATTTGGTTGTTATGTCTCAACCTAGAAACGTCTCTTCATTCTTTTTAATCTTTCACGCACATTGAACTTTTGTAGAGTCCAGGCCAGTTGTCTTGTTGAGTATCTCATGATCTGGATTTGTCTGATTGTTTTCTCATTATTAGATCCAGGTTAACATTTATGGTGGATGCAAAGTTTCAAAGTTTATATTTTTAGAGCCTGTTTGTTTCCTTTTTATCACCTAGGATTGCTTCTACCTACATCTTGTTCTATTTAGCTGCTTGTAATTTATTTTGAGTCCAGAACAGATGTCCCAGCTTTTCAAGTTATTTTTAAAGCAAGATTAAATAAGTATAAATAGGTGCCTCATCTAGGAATAAAGTATATGGGCTTTAGATATATTTTGATCTTTTAAAACCTTTCAAAATTTGTTCCTGGATCTCCATTATATTTCAGATAAGTAAAATTATTTAATGCGTAAATTCTAAAAAGGCAATATAGAACCCTAATTATAAACTTTCTATATGTATGACCCAAGAGATGATCAAAACTATATTGTATTTACCAGGACAATTGTGGTACAGCCTAGTTCTTCAATAGGGAATTTTCTTAAAAAAAAAAAAAGCATTTTCATCTCTTCGTACAATAACAGAAATATCTATCTGAGAGTATTTGTTGTTTTGGAGATGTTGCAGGTAAGCTTTTTATTAATGTTTTTATTTCACATTTCAGCTCCAGTGTTTTCATACCCATATGAACTTACAATAATTTTGTTTTTAAATTATAACATGTATCATATATATCTGGCTTTACAATTTATGTGTATAGTGTAGTTAATTCGGAAACTGAATTTCTGAACCTAGCAGCATTCTGAACCTACTGGGTTCCTACTACTGAAAAGTACTATGCCAAATGGTTTCATACATATCTATCTCTTCTTTAATCTTCTTAGCTTGGGACATCAAGTAATTTTCTCAAGTCTAAGAACTTTTCAGTGGCAGAGCCAGGATTTACACTTTCTCCTCTTCCCCCAAAATCTGTTCTACTTTTTAAATCTTATTTTAATTAATGACACCATCATCTGCCAAATTTCCTAGACAAATTTGTATGTCATCCAGGCTTCTCATTCTCCCATACCCTTAGACAATAATCCTAATAATACTTACTAAATGCATCTTGAATCTATTACCCACCCCCCATCCCTACTGATAGTGTCTTAGTTTAAGAATTCATCATGTCCCATCTGGACCATTTCAACAGCCTCTATGTTTACTTTTTCCAGTGCATCTTTCACACAATTACTACCAGAGTAATTCTTTTTAAAACACAAACATGAACATATATCACTCTCCTGCTTGAAACCTAACCTCAGTGGTTACCACCACCTAAAAGATAAAATTAAAACTTCAGAGAACTGCATTCAAGACCTTTCCACCCTCACCTCCATTTGCTACCCAGCTCAAAACTTATACACTATTGAGTACAAGTAGATCTCCCTAGAACTACTCTCATGCTTCCAAGGCCCATGCTGCTCCCACTGCCTCATAGGACTTACTCTCTTAAATACCTTTCTCCTACTTATTCTTCAAGAATTGACTTCAGTGTCACCCCCTCTAGAAAAGCTTGTTCAGCCCCAGCTTTGTCCTGTCCAAAATTTAGTATGTTCTCCTTTTGGCAACCATAGCAGCCTAATTTTTTCTTTTCACAGAAGTTATCATATTGGTCTCTTCACTGAACAGATATTTCCTTGGTGTTATGTGTCAGGCATTCTGCTAGGGCTAGGACTAGAAAGAGGAAAACACTTCCCTTCCCACAAGTAGCCTGTGTTCTAATACAGATGATATAGAAGCAATACACCTCCCTAGAATTGCTACAGGGCATCCTCAAGGCACCTGCCATGATTTTTCAGTGTAAACACTATGAGTCTTATAAGAAAAATTTTTATTTGGAATATTTTACTTATTTTTTAAAATAAAATAAATTTAATGAATTTTTAACAATTACCTTTCCAAGCAGATTTAGCCCAATATATGTTGTTAAACTACTCCTAAGGTGTTAATGTTATATGGCTCCAAGTGCTCCCCCATAAAAAATAAAATTATTAAATTTTGACCATTTACTCATCAGATTACAATAAAAAGTGCCTCTAAAACATATCTTAATCAATAGTAAAGAGTGAAGATTATGAATTATTTTTAGTCTATATCTTGCATAAAGTGGTACTCATTACGTTGAGATTCATGTATATGTAGCATTTGAGAATTTGAATTATGAGTTTAGTCTTATTAAAATCTGTAATCTAGAAGGAAATGTACCTTAAAGTCTATGACTACTACAGTAAAAGAATATTCTGAAATTATGTTACAGAACAGTCAGCCAAGGACCAGTCTATCTCCTGATGTTGAATCCAGATTGCAGAGAAAATACTGATGAAATATAACAGTAACTATTAAATGGAATTGTTAATTTTGAGAATCTCTTGTAAATATATATTTCTGCATCTGTTTATGATTAAAACACTATAACCATAAAATAATGGTAAATCATAATATGGATAATGGAGACAAACTGGTTTACATATACGGTATAAATTATACTTTATTATGTATTTTATTGATAAATACATTTTTTGTAAATGGAAATACTTCATTATTTTCAACAAGCATGCTACTGGAAATAAATTCATAATATTTTAAAAGAAAAGATATTTTGTTATTCAAATTATGTATTAGCTATAGCTGTAAAGCTTTGTTTTTCTGAAATTCCTAATAAATTCTATTAAATTTTTGTACAGTGGTGTAAAAAGTTTATGATTAATAAGATCCCTCATAAATAGTAGAGCTATTTGTTTAAGACTTTGAAGGATCTCTGTACTTCAGAGATGTTACCAAGGGGTCTTATTCTCTATTCTGCATGTTCAGAAATTAAAGTTATCACTATACAGAGGTGATTAGTCTCTAAAGAACTGACTACACTAGCAAAGCTCACAGGGTAAATGGTAAATACAAAAAATAAATTGCAATCCTAACTGGATTACTTGAATTGCCTGGTCAGTATTTTTTTTCCCAATAAGAATATCTACTGGGGACCAAGTTTATATAGAAGGTTGTTTTTTAAAGTACAGAAACAAAGCCAAAAGTTGTATGATGATAAAAAATATATTTTTTTCATAGAATTATGATAGTCTTATACATTCTTTTATTTTCCCTCAACTTTCTACTTCAGGCTCTCATCACCTCTCATCTGGACTATTTCAAGCTGAATTTCTTACCTTTGGCACCAATAAGGCTGCTAGAATGACATTTCTAAAGTGTGAGTAAAATGGCCAGAGTGAAAATCTATCTTATCAACCTCATCTTAAAGGTTTTCAGAGCTTCCCCTTTGGCTACTGGAGAATATTTGCACTCTTTAGCACGGTATTTAAGGTTCTTCATATTCTGAGTCCTCCCTGCTTACTTAGCATCATCTCTTCCTTCTTTTCTACCACATCACTTTATCCAATATACCAAACTCCTTATAGTTTTCCAAATACCATGTTAGTTCATGCCTCTCTGCTTATATATATACTATACCCTTAGTTTGAAATGCCTTCCCTCTCACTCTAGTTACACCGCCTAATAAACTTTTATGCATTATTTTAAATTCTGCTCTGGTTAAACTTTCTCCATTTTTTTCTAATAATTCTCTGCACTACCTCCTCTATATAAATTATGTCCTTTGTACCCTGAATGTAATTTTTTGTGTATTTATATCTCTTCTTCTAGATCAAGAGCTCCTGGAAAGTAGAGATTAGCATTCATTTTTGTGCCCTTATGAATTAAAATAGGGTACATAGTAGCAGATAAAATAATGAATAAAGGAAAAATTTTTTAATGTTCAATTTATCAAGCCCCTGTTATGTGCTAGTTACTGCTTTATGTGTTAGGATACAATAAAACATAAAACTAATTATTAGGTTGCCATCATGGAACTTAAATTTTAGTGGGGAATGCAGATTTGAAAACATAAGAATATACCATCAGATAGTTACAAAGTATACCGAATGAAAACCAGAGCATGGTAAGGGGGCAAAGAGTGATGGGAATACTATTTTAGATAGAAAGGTAGAATGGACAGAGAAGGTTTCTGAAAAGGTGACATTTGAGCATATGAGTGAAGTAAAAAAGTTAACCTTGATGGCGGTGGGAGAACAGCATAGAGGGAACAAGTGCAAAGGACCTTATACAGGAACAGGCTTAACATATTTAAGGAGTAGAAAAGCCAACATGGCTAGTGGGCAGTGAACAAGACAAAATAAGTGGAAATGAGGTTAGAGAGGATCATGTAGGGTTTGTAGATCATAGGAAGGATTTGAGATTTCAATCTAGAGTAATGTGAATGAATCCTTTGTAGAGTTTAAAGGGAGGGAGGGGTGTGATCTTTTAAAAGGATCACTCTGGTACCTGGAGAATATACTTAGGGGAGAGAAGGTGGTGGCAAGTATTTAAGAAGGGGGACTAATTAGAGAGTTTTTGCTGTCTACTAAGTGAGAGTTTATAGCTTAGATAAGCTTAACAATGGTGGTGGTAATAAGAAATAGATACAGGATGTATTTTGAAATATTTATTTTATGATGGATTGGATGTGAAGTATAGAAGAAAAAGAGGAATCAAGGATGATTCCAATGTTTTTTTGGCCTGAGTAGCTGTGTGAATTATTTACTGAGATGGAGAATACAAGAGGAAAAGCAGGTTTAGGTCGAAAATCAGTTTTTAGGTTTAATATGCCTATTAGCTATCCAGGTGGTGATATTGAATAGACAGTTAAATACACAAGTCTGAAATTCAAGGGTGAGGTCCTGGCTGAACATATAATTTGGGAATTGTCCATGTGTGTGGTATATATAGCCGTGAAATTGGATGAAGTCACCTGGAGAGAGAGAGTATATATAGAAAAGAGATCTGAGGAGCCAAGCAAAGAGGAAGGGAGGGATCAACTGGATCAAAAGCTGATAATAAGTTTCAGATTAAGACTGAGAAACTCCCATTAAATTTGGCTACCTGGAAGAAATCAGTTGCTTCGACAGAAATGGTTCCAGTGGTATATTGGGATAAAAACCTAATTGGAATGAGTTCAGGAGAAAGTAGAAAAAAAGATAACAGGATATTATTAGCAACTTTATGGTCATACACTTGAAGTTAGACAAACTAGAAGTGCTAAGCAGAATAATGATCTCAAGATGTCCACATGTTCCTCTTTGGAACTCATGAATAGATTAATTTACATAGCAAAAGGAATTTTGGAGATATGACTAAGTTAAGGATCTTGACATGGAGAGATATCATCCTGGATTATCTGGGTGGGCTCAATGTCATCATAAGGGTCCATATAAGTGAAAGACAAAAGCAGGAGAATCATTGTCAGAGTCAGAGATTTGTATATGCTAAACTACTGGCTTTGCAGATGGAGAAGGGGGCCACAGGCCAAGGTGTGGCCTCTAGAAGTGGGAAAAGGCAAGGAAACACATTCTACAGAAGTAACACAGCCCTGTCAACACCTTGATTTTAGTCCACTGAAACCCATTTCAGATTTCTGATATTCATAACTGTAAGGTAATAAGTTTGTATTGTTTTAGCCACTAAGTTTGTGGTAATTTGTTATAGCAGCAATTTTATATAATATTTATATAATATTCATGTGAACATCTTTGGGGACAGTTATTCTATCTACCATAATCCACCTTCTGGCCCCCAAAGATGCACATCCATTTCACATGCAAAATACATTCACTCTACCCCAAGGTCCCCAAAGGTCTCATTAGATTACAATATCAACTCAAAGTCAAAACTTTTATCTAAATCTCCTCAGATTGAAAGCCTCAAATCTCATCATCTAAATTAGGTATGAGTAGGACACACTCTTCTCCATCTGTTTACCTGTGAAACTCAAAACCCAAGTAACCTGCTCTCAAAATGCAATGGTAGGATAGGCACAGGATAATAGTAATGGACATTTTCATTTAAAGGGTAGATAATGGAAGAAAAAAAGGAGTCACTAGTCCCAAGAAATCTCAAAATCCAGCTGGGTAAATTCTATTAGATTTTAACTCTCTGTTGTTCAAGGCCCCACCTTCTGGCTCTCTGTTCTACTCTGTGGGCTATCACGTCTTTCTCCCGAAAGGTTGCACATGTTTGCTGCCAAATAGTCTTATCAGCCTGTTACATGCCTGTAGAATTTTGAGTATTAGCCTGCCTTCTTTCATTTCATATTCTGTCTGGGGTTTTTTGGGTCCAAATTGACAATGTTTTTGTGATAAAAAATTTTCAAAAACTTTGTAGGTCTCCTGGGTATGCTATGGGAATTTATTCCATTAGATGAGAAGCTCCTCCAAGATGGTCACACCACTATTTTTGGCTTCTGATGAGATAGCTGAGGGGATCTATGAGTCACACATTTAATGTTTATGACATTATATACTATGATGTTTTGTTCTTTCCATGATATTAGGAAAAGATTGTACAACCACATCATTAGCTTTTTCTATCCTGACAATGAATCTCTTAAGTTTATTATCTCTTGAAATTTGGCTAGACTGAGAATTTCTCAAGTCAAGTCATATTTCCTTTTTCTTCCCTAAATCTATCTCTTTCCTCTGGTGTTTTACTATAAGCAGCAAGAAGAAATCAGGAAGCGCCTTCAACACTAGAATATCTCCTCAGCAGAATGGTTTCCTATAGGCAGAAGTGTCAGACCAGGGTGCATTTTATCTCCCTATTTGTTTGATATCTGTACAGAACATATTGTATAAAAAACTGAACTACACTCAGAGGAAGGAGGAGTGAAAACTGGTGGAAGAAATATCAATAACTTAAGATATGCAGATTACAACATCTTACTGCCAGAAAATAGCAATGTTTTGAAACGGCTTCTAATGAAAGTGAAAGAAGAAGATTTAACAGCAAACTGCATTTGAACATCAAGGAGACAAAAATCATGACTACAGAAGAAATACACAACTTTAACAGACAATGAAAACATTGAAATTGTTAAATATTTTTGTTTACCTTCATTCATTCATTAAGCTTGAAACATTGCTGGAGGCAAAAATGACAAAACTGAAGCTGTTCTACTTTGGGCACATCATGAGAAGTCAAGGTTCTTTGAAAAAGACAATCATGCTGGGAAAAATAGAAGGCAGCAGCAAAAGAGGAAGACAAATGAGATGGATTTACTCCATAAAAGAAGCCATAGGCTTGAGTCTACAGGAGCTGAGCAGGGTTGTTGAGGACATTATATTGTGGACAGCACTTGTTCATAAGGTTGTCAGGAGTCATTACCGATTCAACAACGGGTAGCACACAAATTCCACTTTTCCATTTAACTGTGGGACACAATTCCACTAAGCCTTCTGCCACTCTATAACAAAGATGCCTTTTCTTCAAGTTTTCAATAACATATTCCTCATTTCCATTCTGAATCTTTACCAGCAGCTTCTTTAACATTCCACGTTTCTACCTATAGTTGTTCATACTGACCCATGTATTCTGCAAAATGACATATGTTTTATTATCCATGTTCTTCGATTCTTTCTGCATCCTCACTAGCAGAGTCATTAATATCCATATTTCTTCTTACAGTCTGTTCAAGGCATTCTAGGCTTTTTCTACCTTGCTCCACAAAATTTTTCCAGCCTCTGCCCATTGCCACTTTCACATTTTTAGGTATTAATTACAGCCACACCCATGTTTACATGTTAGAATTAGCCAAAAGAGGAAGATTGGAGTGACCAGAAGCTGTTGTTCTTAGCAGATCACCATGGTTAGTCACAATGGTAGACACAGCGGTGCCCAATAGGTCCCAGCTTGTGTTTACTCTTCTCCACTCTACAGCATCTTCCCAACTTATGGGCTCCCTGCTAACCAACAGCAGCTCCCAGCCCACCATCAGACACTAGGCTGCAGACCCACAGGGACAGCTTCACCTAAGCAGAGTTTTTCCACACGAGGCAGTTTCCATAGATTTCTTCAAACTCTCTCTTCATGTTTCCACTTTGGCCGCCGGGCGTGCTTGGATTATCAGATGTCCCTGCAAGCTTTAGCTTGCCGACCGACAGTAGTTCTTCAAAGAGCCTAAAGACGGACTGCTTCTCTGATCCTCACTGGCATCCCTCACTAGTGCAGGCTAAATATTGATCCCCTGCCCCATGTACTCTGGTCCTCTAATTCTCCCCTCCCAGACCTTCATTTTCTTAGCTCCTCCCATGTTTGGTTAAAATGTTATTCCTGGAATAAATCCCTTAGTCCCATAATTCTTATAATGGCTCTGTTTTCCTGACTGATACAGTCTGAGGGAAGAGACATACAAATAAGCAGACATTTGTAAATCAATGTAAAAAGTGCTCATTTCACAATCTATATGAATACATGAGTAATGAATGACATTCCTAATTCTGAAAAAAAGCTTCAGAGTTAGTCAAATGAGTATTATTTCAGAAAATAAAGAGAGAAGAACCTCTCAGGCCTAGTTGAGACAAAGAACCAGGAAAGCGTGAGAGAGTAAGCTGGAGAGGGAGGCAGGGGCTGAAGTACTCTGTAGGTTTCCTTCTGACGTACCCAAACCATGTGAAATGGGATATCATTTATAAAATTTATAAAATGATATTCCAGTGGGGTAAGCAAGCCAAAGGGGTGTGCCAGAATGTTTGTGAAGCATCCCAAGCACCTCAAATAAAAGCTCGTCTTTATTTTTTAAAAAAAAATTTGTATTTATATGCTTTTATAGATGTACTCAGCAGCATCCTGCATGCTAAACCAACTTTACAGTTAATAATCCCTAACTCTAATATCTTTTATTTGTACACCAAAGGAAGGGCAGTTAAAAATGGTTAAAATCCAAAGTCAG